GCCATAACTAAGCTCCGCAATAAGATACAGACTGTTATTTGGTACACAGGATCACATTAAGGAGGGGCATCTGCAGTTAAAATTTTTAAAAGTGGGCGTGGTCCCGCCTCTAATAGGTTTAATGTGCATATCTCCTAAACCGCTAATGCTATAATAACAAAATTCACTGAAGCAAATATTTTTAGCACTTCTATTGACGGTGTGAAAATAGTTGAAATCGGTGGTAACTCCGCCCACTCCCATATAACGGTACTGTTAAAACTACTAAAAGCGCGATAAATCAAGCACTAAACACGCCAGATCATTAAATTTTATCTCTGGGATGGTATGAGATGACTTTATAGGAACCGCGTTCAAAATTAGACAGTGGGCGTGGCACAGCCCACTTTAGGTGAAAACCCATATCTTGAGATCTGCTTAACCGATTTCAACCAAATTCGGTGCATAGCGTTCTTTTCATGTTTCTATGTCACAGGTCAAAAATGGGCGAAATCGGACTACAACCACGCCTACTTTCCATAACACCATTTTAAATTCCATCTGATTCTTTCACTTTCCACTATGCAAATCAGGCAACAATGACTGTATCGGGATAAACTTTGCGTGAATAATGCGATTAAAGTATGCCACCTTGTGGCCAAAATTGTCTAAATCGAACCAAACTGTTAAGCCCTAAGTACTAAATATGTGGACCCCAGTGCCTATAGTTGACCTTCTACCGAAAATATCAGCCAATCCACAAAGAAATCTCAAACGAGTATACTATTTGACTTTGCGAGAGTATAAAATGTTCGGTTACATCCGAACTTAGCCCTTCCTTACTTGTTTTAATTAAATTCGTACTACTGAAGAAAAATTAATAAATTATATATTTAGTTTTAAATTCTTTATAAGTTTAATATATTCGATAAATAGACAAATATGCCACTTTTACAGAAACTATGAGAAATGTCCAAACCAGTAGCGGTTCCCGAATTTTACACCCAAAACCTTCCGTGTATCCGTCACTGATCAAAACTACATACAAAATATTAAAGACATATTTTTATAATTTTCATCACGAATAATTTTTAATTTTCTCGAAATACTTTTTTATTATTGCAAAACAATAGATTATCGTTGCATTATTTATTCTTAGTTAAGCGTTTTTCCACACACATACACATATATAAAAATATACAATCAGCGAGTGAAAATATAAATAGCAAACAACAATAACGCACAACAAACGAAACTGCTACAAATATGGCAACGAAAATGCAAGCTTCCAACGCAAAAGTAAGTCCAGCTTTTGTTTGTTGCTGTTGTTGTTATTGTTGAAGCTACTTTTTATTGGATTGTTGTCGCAGCATTATTTATACGTTTCGCATTGTTGCAAAAACATCTGTATGCATGTGTTTGTTATTGTTGTAGGTATTAAGTATGTATATACAAGATATTTTTCATATGCCTGGACACACAAACACAATAGCACAAACACAAATATATAAATGTAATTAAATTTGATATTTGCTTTATAAAAGATGACAAGAGCAAGAACGCTTTCCTAGAAAGAGCTTTGCTTCGTTTTTCCTTATAGCACCAATAATTTAATTTTTCTTTAGAATATAATATTAGATTGGCTAAGTTCCAAGTTAAAGCCGATGCGCGGAAAATTCTCGTAGCAGTCTTCGCAGTAACCACAGAGCGAGGCGTCCAACGCTGAAGGCGAGTATCAATGAACATACATTATTATAATCCAAGAATATAGAATATAATTCGAGTGTAACAAATTTGTTTGATACGAAGCTTTTTCTTTTATTAGTACTTATGGCAGATCCTAATATGAGAGCGTACGAGTATATACCCGAAACATTCAAGCGTTGACTGTTGTTAAAAGTACTTCATTTAAGTTGTCATGTGAATTTCAAATGCACAGAAATAAAATTTCAAAAAATATTTACTTTCAATTTCTTTTAATTCTCTAATCTGATTTGTTTCTTGTTTTAAGTTTGATAAATTACCATCTAGCATTAACTTTTTAGTTTTCTCAGACCATCTGATCAAAATTGAACCGGACTCATCCATATAAACTGCGTGTGCAAAGCTAATTGATAAAATTCTTCGATGTTCGTGTGAAGTTTAGTTTCCGTATGTCCATTAGTGTGTGTTTAACAGCTGTTTGTTTGCGAAGCGAAAAATTGGTCTGGTGATTTTTACCACGGAAAAAAAAATTGAACAACAAAACTCGCTTAAAATGCGATAATTGTGTTTTTCCAATGGAATCACAGCTGCGGAAGCATTGCAAATTGTAGCAGTGTTTTAAGGAGTCTACTTTATCACAAACACAAGTTTTTGAGTGGCACAAAGCATTCAGTGACGGTCGTGAAGGCAACAAAAACTTGCCTCATGCGAATCGGCCATCCATTTGTGATACTTGAAAATCGTCGCGTTGTCATTTGAGATATACCATAGTAAGGGGTCTCAACTTCTCTTATGGATAGAGTAGAGGTCGCAAAAGTGTTGCTTGTTAACGTAGCTAAAGCTCACACATTTATTGAATGCATCATTACTAGTGACGAAACGTGAGTTTATGAATATGACGTCAAAACTGTGCAACAAACTAGCAAATGGCGCTCCCACAATAAGCTGAGACCGAAAAAAATAAAATGATAAGATTTTTATTAAATATATGTTAAAATGTCGGTTTTTTGTCAGTCCGGGTCAAATTTGATAAGATTCTGGATCAGTGCTCTCACCATCCATGGACGCCAAGATTATAAAAGATCAAGCTTTCGTCTACGGTATTTTTGCTTTTCCGCGTTATTTCACTCTTATCCCAGACACCGAAAAAATTTAAAAACAAATTGTTTTGAGAGTCAGATCCTCTCAAATAAACAAATTCATAGCAAATATAAATAACTTAATATACCTATACTGTTTATATTATTTTATTGACATTTTTACCCAGAGCATCTTACTGAGATCAGTCACATAGTACTAAGATATAGTACAAATTAAAATTTGTACAGAGATTATTAAGTATACGAAATATGTAGCAAATTTTTGATAAGCTGATTATAAATCCTCATTTTAAAATAATAGAAATCTTCTAATGCATTGCTACCACCCTATTTTCTGCATTTCTTTTCCTTAATTTCTGCATAAAAAGTCTTAAAGTTTAAAAATGATCTTAATATGCACCTCGGTCATACGAAAGTTTTCTTGAAGCTTGTGGAAAACGCACAATTTTTCGGAGCTTTAATAGAGAGCTTGGAAAAGCCTGCGTGAAACTAATTTTTTACATTAGTTTTACTTAAATCTTTACACAGACTTCGCAAGCTAGATGCTGCACAGTAGATTATGGAATTTTTCGAAGCGTATTTTGTCCAGCAGTTATTGATATTTTAAACTGCCGGGTATTTTTGCTTATTGAAAGGTCTCATAAAAATAGACAAGCTAAACAGGCCGTTTAACTGGCGATTATGCATAATAATTACTGAATATGTAATTATGCAGCTCCACTGAAATTATTGACTTCAAGGTATTTTTCCTATCTAACCTCACTTTTTCTTGCAATTTGAATGTATTTAATCAAACAATATTGCTAATCAACCCAGCATATAACCAAAAACCAATTTACTCACAGATAATTAACTGTGTCATTACTATTTGTAAATGTAATTTTTTTGTAATTCTGTTTGTTTTCTTTGCAACTCATAATCTTTGGACCCTGCGATTGAAATTTGAAACTGTGAACTACGAAACATCAAAGACATATAATTTTTTCCTAACCATCGCTTCTAGAAACTTTATGTCGTACTTTCCCACACAATGTGAGGAAGTAAATATTTATGTAAGAGTAGATTAAGATATTTCGCCAAGGATTAGAAAAATTTAATCCTCACAATTTGATAATTTGCTTTGTTTGAACATGAAGATGGGCACAAGGGCAGATAATTGACAGATGGAAGCACATAGACGGACTTATGTATATATACATATATTTGCATGATAGAATGTCTGAAGTGACAATCAAATCGCGATACAGTAAATCTATTGAAAATAATTAGAATTTATTAATGAAAGCAAATAATTATTTCTTTTAAATGTAAAGGAATTGCTGGGCGATATATATAAGACACATATTATATACGTATTTTGAAAAGAATAAAAAAAACGCTAACTTCGGCTGCACCGAACTACAAGTACAACACTCATCACAGCATTTCTTATAGCATAAAAGGGTAAAAAAATGTTTTTAGCTTGATTTGTATCGGTTAGTTTGTATGGCAGCTATATGCAATAGTTGTTCGATCCGAAAAATATATGCGGTGTTTGTAGCGTAGCTTTGGAAAATTATCTATGCCACATTTCGTGAAGATATCGCGTCAAACGAAAAAGTTTACCATACAAGGACTTCATTTGGATTGGCGCGTTTGTATGCCAGCTATAGTCCGATATTGTCTATTTCGACAAAAAAAGCAGCTGCTTGGAAAGAAAAGAACGTGCGTAAAATTTCAGATCGCATAAGTATAGACGAAACACCCAACATACAGCCGAACATAGCTAAAACGACTCAGCTCTTCCTTGCTAAATTAAGAGACGAACAGTCAATGCAACGAAGACAAACGCGATCTAGGCGTTTTTTGGGAGTTTCTCCGCACTAATGCTTATGAGCGTAATAGTGGTAATGATGAAGGAAAGCTAGTGCGATGCATAACGAATAGGTGAATAATGATGAATTTGTATGGTTTCTTGATTCGTTGCATGCTGTTTTTATTTAGTCGGATGCGTTGTGCTGGCGCACAGGTTGTGGTCGACTGCCCAGCACGCTGACTGAGACTGCCTTGTTGGTGGTTAAACGCGCAAAACCGCAAAATACTACTTCTGGAAGATTTGAGTCACGTGCTGACCGGTTGGACGTGCACTCAACGCTTTTCACCTTTCGCCGCCAAGCGTCGACTGAATGTGCGATACCTTTTCGCTGTTCACAGTTCGCAGTTCGCAATGCCCATCAATCGATGATATTCTTTGTTTTTTTTTTTAATTTTTTTTTTTTGTACTATGCCAACACACAATAACTTAGCTGCGAAAAGCAAGTGGCGGCATGCAAAAGGCCGAACTCATCAACCACCTGCTGATAGTCATCAAGGCAAATCTTACTCATACTACTAGTTGGCTGGCTGACTGACTGGTTGACGGAAAGCCGGTAGACAGGCAGTAACTTGTTATTTTTGCATTGACTGCATATTGCACCGACCAACCGACAGGCAGGTTGACAGTTTAACTGACTGGCTACCACTCTGCCGCTCATACTTGTAGTATGCAAGTTGGCTGTCGTTGTGACTGTCAGTCAAGCGCTCACTCGTATGTATGACTGATTAAGTTCAGTATTGTGTTTGGAAAAGACCGAGTTAGTGAATAGTTGGTGCATAGTAGTTCTTCCAAACGACCTATTTTCTGCGACTAATCCCTTCTAACACATCGCTCGGTTAAGGAGTGCGCGGTACAGTGGCACAATTTATATTAATAATAAATAAATATTTTACATTTGTTGTGGGTAAGTTCGGGATACCATTTGCAATTGGTTGTAAGAAATATAGCCCAGAGATTGCTAAAAATGTAGAAAAGAAAATATTTTCTTTAGTAATTTTGAAGTCCACTTTCGTTCGTGCACTCACATTCAACTTGTGTGCGAAAGTCACTTACTCTCCTATGAAACGAGACTAAGACAGTGATTCTAATAATATATCTAAGCTTATTAAGCAGAGCTTCAAAACTATGACGAGTATGAACCCATTAACGGCATTAATATAAAATTTAGTATGTTCAACGATATACCCTGAATACGGTATACGAGTATAAAGTTTGCCGCGAAGTTTGTAGCGCCTAGCAGGAAACTTCGGACACCCTATAAAATATATACATACATAAACATATAAATGATTGGCGTGACGAAATTAGTCTATTCTCATTTATATATATGCGAACTAATCCCTGAGTTTATGACATATCCATCTAAACTGTTACGCACATTCTTTTCTACCCAAGAAGCTGCCAACTTGTCGAAATTGTTGATATCAGAGCACAATAGGGTGTAGCTGTGGTACAAACTGATCGATCACAATCAAGTTCTTGTATGGAGAACTTTTTGATTTGTAGAGATATCTTCATGAAATTTGGTATCAATTATTGTCAAAGACAATGGTACAATCGTCACTAAAGAAATTGTTCAGATCGGACCACAATAGCGTATAGCTACCCTACAAACTGACTGATCAAAATCAAGTTGTTGTAAAGAATCGTTTGTATTTGTGAAGGGTATTATAGCTTCGGTGCCACCGAAATTTACGTTTTATCTTGTTTTATTTTTTATTTTTATAGTTGAGGCGAAACCTGTCCAAAACATTTTCCCAAATAAATTTCAGAAATAACCCACTGTGCATACTAATTTCAGTCAATATGCCACCTAAATTTCCATACTCGCTGCTGGCGGGCGGATCCGCTGAGCAGGTGAAAGACAATGGCCAAAGACAATGAAGTTGAGTTGAGTCGGTTGTCGGCGGCTTGGGTCCAGAGTCAGTAGGTACGCGTACATAACGTTGCATGCTCGCCAATGAAAAGCCAAACAAAAGCAAACTGCACGTACATGCACGCACACGAAAGCAAACGTACAACGCAATGCAAATATACACAGCCGAATTAGCAGCAAAGGGATTAACCGCATTCAGCCGCCGTTACCATTGCCGTTATCGCCGCTTCGCTTGCCTTTGTTGCAGCTCCTTTCTTAACCTTTATGCTTGTGTATATGGTGGAGTGTGTGTGTGTGGCTGTGTGTGCATTGCGGTTTACGGAATTGCCGCCTTAATCGCCGGCATTGTTTCGGCGTGTGGAAAATAAAAACAGTAGCAACGGAACATCAGTACCTGGGCGGCATTAATCTGGGACGTCGCAGCCATGCCAAGCTATGCCCTGCTCTGGCTGGTGCGCGATGATGGCCACCAACAAGTTGACAACAAGTGAACACAGGTCGCCAGGATCGAACGCCCGTGAGTTATGCACCAATAAGTGAATTTGTGTGTGTGTGTGTATGTGTTTATCACTTATTCAACGACATGCATTTACTTCAGCTTACAAAAGATGCCTCCAAGCTGAGGCAAAACCTAATTTCCAGCCGAAAATTTTGCTCAACTTGTAGTTGTCGACATATATTGCAATAAATTTATAGCTATGCTAAGGGTTATATTACTAGCCATGCAAATTTTGAACTGTTTTGCATACTAACCCAGTTAACCAAAATTATTGTGTTTTACATAATTGTTAAATTTCATAGCAAAGTTCGCGACTAGAGAAGATGAGAAGTGATTGTTAATATAAACAAGTAAGGAAGGGCTAAGTTCGGATGTAACCGAACATTTTATACTCTCGGAAAGTCAAATGGTATACTCGTTTGAGATTTCTTTGTGGATTGACTGATATTTTCGGTAGAAGGTCAACTATAGGCACTGGGGTCCACATATTTAGTACTTAGGGGTTTGAACAGTTTTGGTTCGATTTAGACAATTTTTGGCCGCAAGGTGGC